AAATGTGTTTTGGTTTGGTTTGGTTTTTTTAATCTTGGAGGAACTCTGCTGCTCCTATATTTTGGACAAGAAATACGGGAGAAGAGCGTTCTGATCTGAAAGCAGCTACTGGCGTTAACAACAATCCTCTTTGCCAGTATCTGAGAATGCAAATAAATTTGATCAAATCATGAAGTTCTAAAAATTGCATATTGCAAGTGATATTCAGTACAATATTGTATTAGATTTTGGCAGCTAGATGCTGTCTATATTGAGAAAGTACTTTTATGTGTAACTCCTATATGTGAAAACACAAAGAACTGGATTTTGTCCCTATTTCTGCCACAGAGCAATTGGATGAGACTGGACAAGTCATGTAGAGTACTAAACTGGTCATTAATTTTGCATTCTTCATTCTCAGAATTGAAATGCTGGGGTTTCAACCCCAAGCCCCAAATTAAGGCTGACATATGGGTGATTCCCACAGCCCTTCCCAAAGGGGGGTGAGTTTACCTTTAGGCTTCCCTCCAGGGTGGGGCCGGCCTTGCAGACAGAGCCATTGGGTAAATGAGCCCCAGGTGTCCCACATTAAGTCAGCAAAGGTCAGGTGTCCCACTGAGGGATAAAAGCTGGGACCCCTTGCAGGCAGGGGCAGTGTCTGTCTGTGAGGTGGATGCCCTGTGCAGAGCTCCCTGTTGGGGAAGAACCTCCTGCCTCCCTGGGACTGGGCTCCAGTCAGGTCTGGCTTTTGTCAATGTGGGCTGTGTAGAGATTCAGTATGTGGCTTCCTTGGTCTTATGTGTTTGGTCTGTTGACTCGGTTGTTTCCCGTCCCTTCTATGGGAAACTGCATGTCACCATTTATTCCACCCATTGTTGGTTGTGTAGTGTCATTGTTGGGGTCAGTGGGATTGATGTTGATTATGTATAATCTGACTTGTTTGTACCCCTAGCACTCACCCACGTACTGACCCTTTTGTATCAAATACAATTTGGTTATTAGTTCATCTTTATGCTGGCTGTGTCCTTTATGCTAGGCTTGATAATTGCCAAAACAAGAATGCCTAATTTTAAGACTCTTTAGGTTAGGTTTTTATTTCAGTATTACTCCTATTCCTGCAATCTCCTGACATCTGTAGGAAGCTAGTAAAAAAAGCTGAGTATGTGGTGTTTTTGTGAGATATTTTAGCCACTAAAATTATTTTAAAATTTTAGAGTTTTGTAAGCCTTACTGTCTTGCATCTGTGCAATTGGGTTTATCTGCTGTTTATGCCTTAGCAGAGATTTGAGGTGATACTTTCATTGTTTTATAATTGCCCTTCACATCTAAACACTGTTTTTTCCACTGAATGAACCGTGGCTCGGTAGGAACATTGCTACCTTAGGACTTGAAGGAACCTCAAGACACCAAGCAGTCCATTCTCCTAACTATGATGGAAGTAATCTACCTATATACTACAGGACAGGTGTGCTGGGAGCTTTAAGAACTGGCTAATGATGGCTGATGGCTATCAGTTCCAGTCTTTCAAAAACCTTATTTCCAGAAAGTTTTCCTTTGCATCTAACTGAGATTCCTCCTGCCTCAGTGCAATGTAGTTAGTGTTTGTATTAAAACAAACACACAGTTAAGGTTATACAGACAGCTCTGGATTTAACACCTTTTAACCTGAAGGTTGATTTTATATGTGTGAAATGATCAAATATAGTACATGCAGAGACTGAAAGTATTTTGCATCTGAAGATAACATATTTTTATTTATGGTTCAGTCAAAATAAATTAAAATAATCAATGATTGTTTTGAAAGCAAATTACTGGGAGCACTATATATCTACCATGGCAAGTGCTGAAAAGATGAGAATGTCTTATAGTGCCAGAATGAGTTGTGTAAACATGGGTATTTATATACTCAACAGCAGCAAATCTCTGAGAGTTGTTTTGTTGTTGTTTTGTTGGTGTTTTTTTTTTCTTGGCTGAGTCTCCTCTGATCCCACTTCTATCCCAAAGGAGGAGGCGGAGAAAACTAATGTTCCTATCACACATGTTCCATTATTGATTTCTATTCCAATCTACCCAAAGTCTTCTGTGCTGGAAATAATTAGACCCTGTGAACAGAGATGAAGCAAAAATCTATACAATGCTGGATTGCCAGAAATGAAGACAAGGGTGCCTAATTAATGTTGCATATAGAACGCCTTTTGGATGAATGGGCTTCCCTTTCTTAGAAGCAGCTCAACAGTGGTTATGTCACAAATTTGCTGTTAATTAAATAGTGTTCACTGTGTGCCTGTAAAAATGGCATGGAGGAAAAAAAAACATTGGACAGCAGCAGCATTTTACAAGAGCTCTGCAATTAAAAGAAAAGCCTGTGAAAAATAAACTTGTGGGCTTCATACTGATGGCAAGACACTTTCTTCCATATGAAATTCACTTTATGGATTGTCTCAAGGCTCTTTAGGAACATCTAGTCACTGAAGGAGTCTGAACTTTTCAATGCTGGACTGGAAGTGTGTTGGGAGGGTTAAGGACAGGGAAAATGTTCCTGGGAGGCGAGGCAGGATGAATGACAGGGCAGCTCACATCCATAGGCAGCTGCAGCCAAGCCAGCGGGTAAAGGCTGTTCAGAAAGCGAGTCGGGGTCTGGAGGAAGACAGTAGATTAACTTTTCTTTGAGTGAAAGGTGGACTGAAGGTGATTTAAGTTAGACTGCAACACATTTTGGGAACTGAGAAGGCAGATATTGAGGAAGAATGTAAGAAAGAGAACTGATCGAAAGTTCACAACAGGCACGCACTCGACTAATAGCAGAAATATCTGGAGGGTATCTGAAGTATCTGAAAGAGATGAAAAGAAAAACTTAAGCTGCATCCATATGACAGCGTTTGCTTGTTAGTTTTCTCCCAATAACACAACAATGAAGTTGTTCCTAAAACAGAAAAACCCAGTCTTTTAACTGCATCATAGACAGGCCTGATTCAGCGATTAAGCTTCCTGGAGTTACATATGCTGTCAGTGGTTTTGCAGTGGGCATCCTCTTCTCCCTCTAGTTTTCCTGAATCCACTTCTGTTGCTTTTTCCCTTGATGTTCCCTTGTTACATTCAGAGGAGCATAGGAGATTGTTGCTAGCAATAAAAGATACTCCTGTGCTGGTCTTGCTTCTCTGTGGTGCATGGCCAGGTGCATACCAGTGAGGAAGGCCCTCTCTTTTAGAAGCTGAGAGAATAGTGTGTGCATCAACCCTGATGGATTTATCTTTATAGTTATTAGACCATTTATTTTTCTGTGAAGCTGTTCTCCTTTTTAGCAGTCCCCAGAATAACAATGTTATGTGCCTATGCATGCTGCAGAAAACTGCAATGGGATTTTTGGTGTGTCAGAGGTCTCCGATAGTAGAGGGATTCTGGGACAGTTGTTCTTGTAATTTGCAGGCCACTGGCATGCCTTCTTTCAGCCTTTAATTCTCTCCTTTTATCTCTATTCCCTCCTTGCTCTTCTTGATATCTGTTGTGGCCAATCTAAGTGATACGATTGCTCTCTCTGCATCTCTGGAGAACTTAAATAGCATCATTCCCTCCTTCTCTTTTCTTCCTATAAATTCAAAGGAAGTTTCTCTTCTTTAGGCAAAGATAGAAAACATTTCTTTTTCCTCTCTAAGAAACTAGAGAATGCACAAAACTCATGCTTCTTGCTCAAGCAGATGAGTTCAACTAATGAATCTTTAGAAATCTTCCTAGACTGTGCCTTAAACTGTAAGAATAGGTGTGTTTTCTGATGAAAATCTAGTTGACATAAATATGTTTTTAGCATGGATTTGATGGAGGGACTTATTTTTGCCAATATAGTAGAAGCTGTGGTTCTAGTTTAGGGATTTTATGAAATAATTTTAGTGCAGGAGAAAGGTACTATTAAAAAAGATATTTTTATAATAGCGTGCCTTCCAGGACCTCTCTTTTCTTCCTATTTGGCTGCTTAACATCGTCTCTCTCTACTCATTGTTTTAACAAGCATTTTTTTTCTGCAAACTGTCAGCTCTGATGCACAGCTGAAATAGGTGCACACACAGATTGTGATTCCTCTCCCCATTGTTGCATTTTGATTCTGAACTCCAGATTTAATCTGTTTAAATAATCTACTCCTGGGACTTAAGTCAACTCCTAGATACTTTTTGCTGTTCAAGAAATAGTAAAGCATTACAATAATTTAAATCAAATAACCAAATCCATATGAAATACACTACTAGTTATCTTTCCAACAGATTTATTTTCTTCCTTGGATCCATTTTAAGCTGCACTGCAGTTGCTAAATCAAAAATAAACCAAGTTTTCAGTATAGGGTGTGATAAGTGTATGATTTCCATTACATCCCAGTGTGCTACATAATAAAAAATGAAAACATGTCACACATTTTGAGTATAGAATTGAAATGGATTTTCTGACCTAGTCCCAGTGAATAGGTGCTAAAGTGATGGCAAAGACTGTAGGTCCTGGACTGTAATTATCATTTGTGTTATTTCTCAGTGGTAGGAGACTTCAGACGTGTGCGCACAGTGGGGGGGGAAAAAAAAAAAGGCAGAGTGCTTTTGTCCTTTTTCCCTTGGCCATCAGCAGCAGACTGACATACCAATGCTTTTGAAGTTATTTTGGGTGTGGGGAAAAGTGATTCACATTGGTAGAGCTTGTTCATATGTTACCTTGTTGAATTTTGTAACAATGCCATCTAACGTATTTTAGAACATATTTGAGTGTGTTAATCAACTGGAACTTCAAGAGAATGTGAAAACAATTCTGGTTTCACAGAAGTTGGTCATGTTGTTTTTGTTTTTTTTCTTCAGTAGCAGCAGAAACTCGTCTACATAGCATATATTTTAAATTATTAAGAGTATAGAAAGCATCACTGCTTGTTCAGTCCCTCCAGAATCAGTCCTCCGTAGCTGCTGCCCTGCGTTAAATGAATCTCACTGCTGTGTATTTCACATAAAATGGAATTAATACAGAATATAATCTGCCTTTCTTTTCTGTTGTAGCTTGGCTTTACATACCTGAAAAGACATTGTAGTCACTGGCAGCGATGACCACCTCTGGAAAATATGGGCCTTACCTGATGGGAACATCATCATGACAGGTGAAGGTCATACTGATTGGCTTTCGGGCTGCTGCTTCCACCCAAGGTTAGTGCAAACAGTCCCCTGAACTCCCAGTAATCCCTTCTGGGCAGTACTTGTTTGCTCTTTCTTTGTTCACTGGACTGCTTTGATGACTTTCTATTCTCAGTGTAACCCTGCACTCTCTGCTGAATTTCCAAACATGTAGATAAATGCTCCTCTGGCTTTCAGTGTGTTGACTTAAGATTGATTGCTTTTAGTATTTTGTACATCTTAAACTTTGTCCATGTGCCAGTGCACATAACAAGGAGTAATAAGCTTTTCAGGTCTCACAGTATTCATTTTCTCCATGTTCATGCACTATAACAAACATGGTTCTACTATTAATAAAATACTGAAAAGTTGATTTCTTCTTTAGGCATTATTTGTCATATGATTAAGAGTTATTTGAATTTACCTAGAGAATAAGAATACGAGCGTTCCTCCTTTCTCTTTCAGAGCTGAAGCTGAATTAATAAATGAAGGTGAACATTGAAAATGAGAAATAAATATTTAGGTTAAAAGATCCATGGAAATAGGCCAAACATGACAGACTTCTTGGTCATTCTGTTGAAAAATAGTATGCTGCTTTAGTCTCAGAAAAAGAAAATTCTATTTAAGACTGAACCTCTATATGTTAAAATGGTTTTGCATCAGTTTTGTGAGGCTGCAGTTGTAATTGAGTTCTTTACTGTTAATATAATAAAGGTCTGCTAGGCTACTCACCTGAAGTTCACTTGTAAAAAGAGCATTATTAAACCTCCAACCTTGTATATTCATTGTATTTATTTTATGAAGCGATATTGGCTCTTTCCTTCATGAGAAGTATCCTATTTTATTTCTGTTTCCTTCTGATTTCTGATATTGTAACGAGTTAGCAAATGCACACACAATCCTCTAAATACAAGAAAATCCTCTCCTTTTCAAAACCTCAGGAACATGCAATCATGCTTCTTGGGGTGGATTAAGTATGCACTTACTCTTTTCTTTCATCTTTTTCTCCTGAAAAACATAAGCATTTTCTTAAGATGCTTGTTTCACAATGTTCTCTTTTTCATGTGTATATCCTTAGAAATAATTTTATACATTTAAAATGAGAGAATAATATTTGACTTAAATAATTACATATAATACAGGAGGAGAGAAATGGTAAGCTCAGCTTCTTATTTTAAGATGGTAGGAAAATTTTTCTATTACTAAAGGACAGGTTGCACAGAGTTCGTGAGCACACTGGACATCCTAAGTCTAACCTGCAGATAAACAGAATGCTGCCTTACCTCTTACCTGTTATGAATATAAAACTCATCACAGGGGAAGAAAGGAAAATACAATTAGAAGAGCATGTTATCATTTATAAAGCTGCTGGGCATGCTAATCAGATTTCGATAATGCATTGTTACCATGACACCCGCTGACTCAGAGACTCAAAACTATTTTCTCATTAGTCTTTGACCAGAATACAGTCCTTTCAATAGGCTTTCCTATTTCTCAGTCAATTATTGAAATTAAAATGAGTTGAGGTACATCATCATTCTCCTGCAGTATGAATTGACTCCTGCTGAATGCTCTGGAGTGATTCAAAAGCAGTGCAGCTAAAATATTGTCTTCTGTTACTGGATAAAATATATGTGTGACAGAATACATTTAATCATACTTTTTTTTTTTCCCTTTTTTTTTTTTAAAGTAGGGAACTTCTATATATCAGGTGTTCAAAAGTAAAAACAATTAAATAAGAATGGAAAGTTCTCAGAATTTTTCTGGAATCAACTGTACTTTTGTTTCCATTCTAAAGATTTAAAGTTATGTTCATCCAAAAGTTGAAAAGAAAAATAATTTTGTGGCGCTGTGCTACTAAACTGTGATTCGGAAATTCGGGTAGAAGTCCCAGAAATCTATATTCTTTCCTTTTTGTCCTCTATTAGATCATTTCTCCTTTATATTTTTTCTCTCCATCTGTAAAATCAGATTTAGAACAATCTCCACCTCTGATCTGAGAAATATTCTATGTACAGCCGAGGGACGCGCATGCATGCACAGACACACACACACACACAAGACAATGTCAATTTAACTGGTGCTTCTGCACATACAAATTACTTAAAATTCCAGAAATCTATTTTTCCATGTTCAGTGTACTTGAACAAGAGGCTTTCTCATTGTTGTCTTTGTGCCATCACTGTGTAAATAGGGGTAAGGATGCAAGTCTTGCTGGTAGCTGTGAAGACCTGTAAGATTCAAGCTAAAGCTGCTGTTGGGTAAAGGTATGTTTTAGGCTCTGGACCTTGCCTGTTGATTAATACATAATAAATCTGATGATTGTCATTTGAATCTTTCCTAGTACTGATGTACAACAATATCCTTAAGTATCATAATGTCATTGAGGCATAGGGGCAAAAAAGCCACTGAGTTTCTGGAGAGTTGTTGGATGGAGGAGTCATATTTTCCCCATCACTGACAATGTGCTTCATTCTAAGATTATTTTTGCGTAAAAACACATCTTCATATCTGAGCGAAGTAGAGTGAGGTGAGAGTACCTGGTTTGCTGAAGCTCTGGAATTTGTGCTGTATCATTTTTTTACATCGTGTTCAGTGCTCTTTGGTCTGTACAAAAGGTCTTAATCCCCCATGTGTTCTCCCTACATGGTGGTGGCTCCCAGGACAATAGATGAAGTGGAGCAGACTAGCTCTGTGCCTGTGAGGAGAGCAGAACATCTCTGTTGTGATGCTCTCTGCAGATCTGGGAGTAGAATTTTGCCTTCAGCTTTTAAAATAAAAGTAAAACTTCAAACGAGTCCCATCATCTACAGAGTACAGCAGCTGGAAGGAGGGTGGAGAACAGTTCCTCCTTTTTGAAGCTCAGGTGACAACTGGTCAAACTTCAAAAACAAACACTATTTTTACTCCAGTCTGGCTGAATAGTACTTTGCAGATGAATTAGCTGTTGCAAGTTCCTATTGCTCTTGAAAAATTCAGGAATGTTTTTCAATTTATCTTTTATATATGTGAAGGAGAGAGTGAGTCAGAGTGACTCCTGCCACAGCCGTCCACACAGGCTTCACGTTCAAAATCTGGATAGCTAAAGAAGACCTGTGTAGTGTACCTGGGGCTACCAGGTGACCCAAATGTTTGGAATCGCAGACAAAAATCTGCATCTTCTGCCAGTTTCCAGAATAAGCTGAGGATGTTAACGCTGCTCCTTTAAGAACCACGCTCTAATTACATTAATATATTTCACGTCATGTATTAGATTTGTCTTTATTACTAACCTTCCTGGGTGGCTAAAGAATCAAGCTCTGCAGCATAACAGAGGTGTTTGCTAATGTACGATAAAATCCCAGTGAACAGTAAAATATTGTGGTTTTGCTCCTCATGTTGTGGTATAATAGGTAATGCCCTTGAATATATTCATAAAAATTAATCAAGTCAACTCTTCTAAAATGTTTGTAGCCCTTTTCATGCAAACATTGTTTGAGACTGTGGAATACAATGAATTTCTGAATTGAAAAGAAGTACAAACTGTAGGTTCTTAAAGCTGTTTAAAACTTGCACTGAAAATTGTGAATTTGTCAACTCTTTTGTAATGCCCTGTTCACCTGAGACAGAAGCAGAATTGGTTGTATTCTTTCTGCTGCTGCTTCAACTCTCATAATTACTGAGGAAAGAAATCAAAACTGTTATAAATTTGTTTATTATACCAAGAAATACCACAGTGGTGATCTTGAACTCTGTGGATTTTCTTTAAGTTCTGTTGCTATTAGAAAACTGGAAGTGGGTATTGTCTCCTCAGTAATTAGAAAAAAGAAAAAAAAAAAAAAGCATAAATACATTCATGCATCAAGCATCTTGAAAAGAAAGCTATTTAATGTTTAATATTCTAGAAAAAGGTGCCAGTGAGGGGATGCAAGAGAAAGATGAGGTATTAGGCTAAGCAAACAATCCATGTTCTGAAAGAACAGAAGCAGCTCTAGATTGTATCTCTTGAAGCCGAAGGAGGTGATGTTACCCTGATGGAAATCTATGCATGGATAGATGAGAAAGACAACCCTCTAGAGAGAGGGTGCAGAAGGGATTAGCAAAATATATTGAGGATGGATGTGAGGACTCAGTGCTCAAATGGGTTGGGGTGGGAACAGCAACTCCAGGTGGACTTGAATTCACACAAGAAGCTTTTAGGGGAATTCTGTAGCGCATCAGAGCAGGCTATGGAGGGGCAGTGATTCTGGTGCTCCCTGAGGGACTGGGGGGGGTATGAGTAGTCAGCCACAAAACATTTATGAATGCTTGGTCTGTAGAAAGCTCTAAGCACCCAATCTCTAAAACCAAGGTCTCTTCCAGCTGCATAAAGGCGAGCAGCACAGAATCACTGCTGAACTTACATTGGCCAATGCATAAGCAGCCAAAAGCTCTGAAATCTGCTCCTGATTTTAGCTATGCCCGGTCTCTAGCGGAAATTTAAGGCTCGAAATGGAGAACACAGGATAGAATTTGGAAAATCCAGTTGGATGCTGAGAACCTCTTCCAGGCTCTAAGTCTGTGGTGCTGTGGGTGACTGAGCACTCTGGTAGCCTCTTGAGTCTAAGTCCAAAATGCTGCTGACAATTCTGAGTGAGAGAAGGGACAGGATATTGCTGTTTTCTCAAAGTCTTAAACAGTAGCGACTGGTAAATCAAAACTGTGGAAGTAAGACTCTGTCAAGGTGTAACTTTTAAGTAAATTCCTGAACAGAATTGAAGTGAGAGTAAACTGAGAAACTGAAATAAACTCTTGCTCAGGTAAGTTCCTGATTTAGTTTTTTACTTTTTTGTTGGTTTTTTTTTTGTCATTTGGGCTTCTGCAGAAACTATCCAGCGATTAATTTCTGTATGAAAAAAGGATAGACTACAAAGCCCAGAAGAACAGTAGTTGAGGAATGGAGGAAGGGTGTAGAGAAACCTCTGAGGACTGCTGGGAGCGAGGGGCAAAATTCAGGTGGGAAGGCATTCACAGATAAGAGTGGCAGGCTGGATTTCAAGCCAGCTGAGATCAG